TTTTTTTTTTTTTTTTTTTTTCAGTTTTGCATTTTTTTTCGTCGTTTTCTTTCTTCACCAGGCTCTTGGTAGTCGTCATGCCCCTCGTTGTAGGCAACTTTTTAACATCATCATTCTTATGGATGGGGGGATCATTGGACATGGAAGGAAAGGGATCATCAAGGAAGAATTATGGATCATGGATGGATACCAAACAGCGAGCGCTACAAGCACGAATGCATGCATAGCTTATCTTACTCTCGTTGATACATGAATTGGAGAATAAACAATGGATCAACGAAATGTATTCCAAGTCTAGTCAAGTGACTTCATTAGGTATGTGAAAAGAATAAGGGAATAATGCAATTACAATAGAAATACAGACATCCAATTCAACTCCAGCCAAGGTAAAGTAAAGTTCATGATTAGTATAGTAGTACAAAGTACGTCATTTTAGGTTCTAGGAACAACCCCTCGATTTCTCGTCCTCTCTCAAACTCGGTTTTCGAACATTCGAACAATCGCCATTTTTCGTGATGAGGTGAAGTGAAGAAAGGAAAAGAAACCGAAGAAAAAAGGAGGGAAACTGAAGAAAAAAAAGGAGGAAAAAAAAAAGGTACAACAACCCAATGCCATATGAATCCATTCAATTCGATCGCTTGCAATTTTCATCGGCAATCAATCTGATTCCCATGCGTGCGTGCGTCCGTCGCAGTGCTTGATCTGTCCCATGCTGCCATGCCGCCATGCTGTTTTAATCCCATAAACATCCGTCCTGTCGTTCGCGTCGTTCGTATCCTTCGTATCCTTCGTATCCTTCGTATCGTTTTGTGTTTTGTTGTTGTGATGCGTGCCCGCCCTGAAATATACTATACATCGTTCATTTCTGCGAGGTTCTGTTTTTGGTGCAATATCGCCGATGATGTCCAATGTCGACGATGAATATTTGAGATCACCAAATGTTTGTTGCCGTAGAGCTAAAGAGCTAGAGAGAGGCAGGCCGGCAGATAGGTGATGTCGTTCACCTTCCTCACTCCTCACTAAACCCTTCCGCAGCAGCCTTCTTAACGCCACTCAAGCCGCTCCCGCCCGTAGATCCACTCCTCGCTTGCATCATGTGCTTGTATTCCTCGTTGCTGAAGCTTTGGCGCCGGTCGAGCTTGGGTTGCCAGGTTGATGTCGCGCTCATGGCTCTCTCGCTTCTTGCTGAGGAGGAGGAGGCGGAGGGCGAGGAGGTGGTGGGGGATTTTGTGAGAGTGTTGGTGAGGTCGGAGTAGGGAGTTGAGGTGATGATGTTGGCGGGGGTGGTTTTGGAGGACATATTGTAATATTGGAGTTTGGAGTGGTTTAGGTTTGGTTGTTGTTGGTTGTGTTATTGGTGGTCGTTGATAGAGGTGTGGAATGTTTGTGGTAGTTGAGGTTGAGGTGTTGATGTTCTTGGTGATGCTGTTGTTTCGTTGCAGAATAATTGAGGTTTTGTGTTATTGCTCGAGATTGTCAAGGACTCCAAATAGGTCTTTCCGTTCTCGGTATCTTGTATTTGTGTAAAATATCAATTCCAAGTTGGAATGTTGTTATGATAGGGAAGAAGGAAAGGTAAAACGGAACAGCAGAAGCCGGATGCGACACACACCCACCTTATTTATCTTCATCAGTTATTTGGTGTTGCCGAAAACGACAGGAATGGTCTGACGTATCATCGCAGCATCTCGGGAGTCACTTTCCCCGCGCGGAGACAGGATACAGGTGAAATTGTTCAAACCTCGAAGTGACGAGTGGCCGATCAATCTAGCCTCTGAGCCTCCTCACCTCATTGTGCATGTACCGCTCGCCACTTTTGTTGGACAATTGGACGACGGCATTCCAATGGACTGACAGCAAAGCATCTCATTGCTCAATGGGGTGGTGATACGAATGAGGAGTATGAGGTGAGTTTTTGACCGAACCCGAAAGCTGCCTCTGCTGGTTATCGGGTGAGGTCGGGTTACGTAGGACGACAGCTTATCGGTCCACTCGCTGTAGGGCTGTCGATTAGGGGCTCCACCCTTCCCGCCTTGGCCGCTAAAGATCGACTGTCAACCCCCTGTGATGGCGGCGCTCAGTGGAACTGGAGACCCTGACAGCGGAGGTGCTGTGACGTTTTTTTCGCATTTTTGTTTGTCACCTTGAAGGTTGCACGAACAACTTCCTTTTCTTCAAGCTTCTTTGATACCATCGCTGATGACCAGGGAAGCTATAACCTGTAATGAATACGAATAGAATATGGACAATGAAGAGATTCTGTGCCCTTTTTACACTTCGACCTCGAGATCCGGCTCGACCATGGCCTCGACGTCGATGTCGGTCACCGGTCACCGGTCAACCTCACCATGCTTTGATCATGACATGATCGCAATCACGGAACGACCCTCACACCGGACGCCAACGCCGACATCGCTCAACACCACTCCCAAGTCTCGACCCCTCGCTTAACACCCAGCTCACTTCACCTCCCCAGAGTCCTGACCTCGGTAAACCCGACGACGATCTCCGCTTCCTCAATCCGCCGTGTGGTATTATCTGGTACAGGTGGAGGTAAACTTCTCGCACTCCCATTCGCCACTCCACTACCACCCCTCAACGACCCAAAAGTATTGCGTGATGACGCCCGGTCCGCCCTTTCCCAATTCCTTCTTGTTCCTGGGCTAGCAAGTCTAGGCCTAATCAGCACGGAGGTTTCCTCCGTTAACGACTCCGGTATTTCCGGCAACGCCTTTTCACAAATAGCCCTTGAAGTCCTTGAATCTCGCGAAAGCGTATTTTTCGGTTCCTGAATCAGCACTGCCACTCCGGGGTCATTGACCTTCTCGCCAAACGACTCTCGGATCGATCGTGTTGCTCTTAGCGAAGATTCCATCCGCCGATGCCCTTTCGGTCTACCTGTGGCTAAGAAGCTCGACATTCGCAAGACCCAGTCGGGTCCGATTGGCGGGTCGCCGATGCCTTGGCCGTCTAGTTCGACCGGGGGAGGGTGTGTCCATGTCGCCACGGCTGGCTGTCCCTGTCCTACGCGGTGTCCGTTGCCTGGAGGCGGAGCCATCCCTCGGTATCCCAGCTCTGCTCCAACAGCCAGGCGATCGCTCGGAAGTAACGACGTTCGGTTGTCTGAGCACTTGGTTCTGGAATGCCATCTGATTCCCTTCCGCGAAGGGCCGAAAAGGGAGAAGAAGGGCCATTTCAGTCGTGGAAGGCCCGGTCGACCGGCTCTGCGTCGTCGGCTGATTAAGACAAACGACACTATGAAGATAATGACAGCAACGGATAAGCTGAGCAGCAGAATCAGGCTTATACTGGCTCCTTGGCTCAGGCGCCCGGGATCAGTGTCTGATGTTGCGCTGCTGGACGTAGAAGATGGAGGTGCTATGGCTGTTGGGAGGCCGGTGATTTGTGTCGTCCATGGCCCCTGGGTTAACACCGATGGGTTGAAGGCGGTGGGACTTGGCGGGGCTTTGCTGTCTATAAGGAGAACCTCCGGAGTGTCTCTCCGAACCATGGCCGCGAGTGTTGCTATGGTTGAGGGAGCGGTTGTTGTCATTGTTGGATATTGACGGTTGATGAGCGATGAGCTTAAGATCATGGTGGGGTACTTGCGGTTGATGACCGATAAGTCTGCGGAAGCGGTCATGTCGAGTTGGTTGCTGGCCAAGTTGACAACTGCCCGACCCTTCGTGCTAGTTCACGAATCAAGTGATTTGTTGTCAAGGTCTGATTGTCATTTACTTGGACATCGATACTGCATCATCTGTCCAGGCGAGAAGGTGAAGAAATGGTGAGCAACTGTCATTCGAGATGTCGATAAATGGACAAGTCCACGGCTTAAGTGAGTCGAAAAGGAAAAGATGGCCGGACAGAGCTGAACATAATGCCGGACAACCTGGGACTGCGCAGAGGACTCAGAGTTTCATCGCAATGCAAGTTACGGCGGCGAAACTCAGTTCATGGTATATAAGATTGGAGAGTGGTGGACTTCTCATCTATCGAACGTCTGTTGGTGTTGTGTTCTCATCTTTGCTTCAGAGTTCAGATATGAGTGAGCAAAGCCGTGGCACGGCTTACTTCACACTGAGACTTCAAACCCCCAATGACATGAACCTAGGAGGCGTAAGTGGCCCCCAACCAGGCAACTCGCAAAAGTCTCACACGAACGATAACTGTTCATCGTTGATTCTTGGCAGGGGCATCGAGACACAAGAATCATCTCACATGTTCATAATCTTGTGTGTTTTGGGTCCTGCGCCGCAAAGGGGAAGAAGGTTCATGGAGAACTGGCCCTGGCAGGTAGGCAGAAGCATTTCTTATCGGATGAGGCGAACTCAGCTGCCGGCTGGTGTAACGCTGAATGATGTAGGGCTGGTTTATCAGCTGGAAGCTGTGAACATCCCTGAAGACAAGACAGGTGTTGCGACGGTTAAGGCGTTTCATCTGTGGCGGCCTGGCGGGCGGTTGAAGCTGACGCTGAGGCGACACTCAGGTTCTTATGAGTTCGGGGGCACAGCATTTGTCTTGAACTCGGCATAGCGCTACCCGCGCAGGCAGGGAGATTTGGCAGTGCTGGATCTTTGCAGTGGTGAGTCCCACATGAGGTGGGAATGGGTGATACTTTTCTTTTCGACGCGCGTTGTCGTCCCATCATTGTCGTCAACACACCTCATCATTCATCAAGTCTTCTGAAGAGATTCTAAAAGCAAGTGCAAGTGGTTAGAAGAGCATACGAGCGAGCGATCAAGCGATTTTCCTGGTCAACGGTAGTCCCAAATACGATAACCGGATATGGATGTCGTCAGTTGCAGTGTTATCAAGGCGATAGCTGCCATCCGACGGAAGCCGAGCACAATGGCGTCAACAACCAGGCACTTGTTGTCACAGACAAGTCGAGGAGCAACGAGGACATCTTTTCATGAGGGTGAAGACTATGCCTCTGGTCTGCTCCTCCATGGCTGAACTCCTTCCCCAGTACAAGGTCATCATCTGGTTCGGCTTCAAGCCCTCGTGGCAGTAGACCTGGGTCCCAATTTTCATTTGCTAATGAGATGTTACCATCAGAACCCCCTTCAGCTTGCACCTTCCCGGCAGCTTGGGCCAGCACAATGAAAGCCGCGATGCAAAGTAGTACAGTCGTATAATTTGCAACGTTTGGAAGGTGCATCCCTCCCCGATTTCCATTTTCGCAATCTTTTGGACTGGCACACGAAACATGTGGAAGGTGCACACTATCGGTTTTTTCCTTCTTTTTTTGGGTTTTCAATGCAATTCAAGGAGGCTCTTCTTCAACCAAACAACCCAAATCTCACGAACCATTTTCCTCCTCATTGGACTCACTTTGTCTCACGCCCCAGTTCTCTTCTCTCAACCAACTCAAAGCTACCCAACGAAACATCTTCCTACTCGGTCCTGCATACCATCTCAAATCGGAGACTTTTCCATCTCCCATTCGGAGGAATCATATCCCCTACTTTGGAGACCCCAAACCCATTGTTTACGTGATGCATTGTCTGAAAGCAGCTATGAAGTCCGAGCTGTGAACTTTAGCTTTTGGAGGCGTTCAATGGAGTGGATGGCGCAAACACATCCCTGTAAGCACGCCGAAGCCACGAGGAGCGAGACAGCATGAACAACAAAGGCGGAGATAAGTGAATGGCTCCCAAAACGAGAAATCCACAGTACTCGTTGTATAAACCGTGGTTTACCGTCGCCATGCGAGCATTTTAGACGGCAAAAAGGCAAAAGCGGCATTCGCAATGAAAGCGGTTCCATATCTTCCAACCACCTCCCACGCGATTCTCCATCGTCCAAGAACGTTGATTTTCGTTGATAGTGGAGGTGGCGAGCAATGTTTCCAAAGGTTGTCACTATCACCTCACTAGCGGCCGATGTCGTGATGGTGCTAAACAATGGTGAGATGCAAGTTTAGGCTTGGCTTACTCCACTAACGCTTCTTCGTCGATAACCTTACTTGTTTATCCAAACAGACTGCCGAACCGCTGACCAGGGGTCTCAAGGGTGCCAAACTCTTTTGGGGTTATTCACTACACTAACAAAGTTAACGACACCAACGACTCGCTCAACGGCACATCGAAGCCCCCCACACACTCATCGCGTGGGGATCATCGACACTTCCACCCATTTTGACGAATTCTCCGTTGTTGGAACGAGGAAAAAGAAAACTCAGCAACCACAACCGAGGGCGATGGGGGGCTGTCAAAGTTCTAGCCTCCCCACTTCGCGTTATGTAGAGTCACACTGCACTGCGGTATGCGATGTGTACCTATGCGAGGCGAACCAAGGGTCCGGATCAGCCCAGCCATCTTTGCCGCCGTTATCGCCATGACATGTGGATGGGGATATGGATGTGGGAGGATATAAGGACGGGCGAGGCCCCGGTGGCTTGGATGTATTGAAACATCGGATCTACCCTTTGGATCTTGCTCTATAAGCCTTGCTGCCCACAGGACAACCCACAGGAAGGCAGACAAGATGTCCTCGACAGACAACAAGGAAAAGAACGTCGAGCTCGGCCCCGTCTCGACGGGGTCAGATGCTGACGACCAGCACATCACCAAGCCGGTATCGAAGTTCACTCGCTGGTACCGCAGCCCTCTGTTCAACGTCATCATGGTTGGTCTCATCTCGTTCACCCAGCCCGGTATCTGGAACGCCCTCAACAGCACGGGCGCCGGCGGCGCGCAAGAGCCGTACCTAGTTAACGGATCTAACTCTTTGACTTTCGGGTATGTCTCCCTCTTCTCTTCCGCACCTAACCTCTCGCCCCATCATGAGCTAACAAACCTTCCACAGCATCATGGTCTTCGGTTGCTCCCTCTTCTCCATCCTCTCCAACAAGATCGGCATCAAATGGGTTCTCATCATCGGCACCCTCGGCTACGCTCCTTATTCCGCCTCCCTCTACGTCAACAACCGTTACGGAACCGAATGGTTCGTCCTCTTCGGCGGCGCCCTCTGCGGCATTGCCGCCTCCGCCTTGTGGGCCTCCGAAGGCGCCATCGCGCTCGGCTACGCCGACATCAAGGATCGCGGCAAGTTCACGGGCATCTGGCTGGGTCTGCGCGAGCTGGGCCAGCTGATCGGCGCTTCGATCCAGCTTTCGCTCAACGTGAAGAAGGAGGGAAGGGGCAAAGTTGGGTATACCACGTACCTAGTTTTGATTGCCGACTCCGCAGTGCCTTGGTCTGCCTTTTGCGTTGCTGGTCTCTTCACCGCAAAAGGTCATCAAGCCGGATGGCACGAGACTTAAGGACCCGACCCTCAACAAGACGGTGAAGGGGGAGTTCAAGAAGATCTGGAGTCTGTTCAAGCGCAGGCAGATGTACCTGCTGGTGCCGATTTTGATTGGGTTTCAGTGGAACAGCACGTATTTGGGCATTTACATGACAAAGTAGTACGTATCCCCTACCCCATTTCCCTCTATTTACCCTCTTTCGCTTTTGGACCACACTAACACCCCAAAAGCTTCTCAGTCCGCTCTCGCACCCTTGGCTCTCTCGTCTCCGGCATCGCCGCCACTGCCGCCAACATCTTCTGGGGCTGGTTCTACGACCGCCAATCCCTCTCGCGCCCGACCGTTGCCAAAATCACCTGGGCCTTTTTCGTCGTCCTCATGCTGGGAACATTTGGCTGGCAAACCGCCAACGAGAAGATGTACGGCGACCTCAAGTCCGCCGGCACACCAGTCACATTGGACTGGGCCAACCCCGGCTTTGGCCGCGGATTCGCGTCCATGGTCATTCTGCGCTTCCTCAACGAAAGCCACTACATGTTTGTGTACTGGCTCATCGGCGCCTTTTTCGACGATCTCGAGACGCTGGGTCTGGCAGTGGGCATTGTCAGGTCATTTGAGTCCGTCGGCTCGTGCTTGGCGTTTGGTATTGGAGCCGCGCAGGTGGCGCCCATGGTCAACCTGATTATTGCGTTTGCCATGTTTGGCTTTACGATCCCAGCGACGTCAGCGGTGGTGTTTATGGTCCCGGAGAGGCCGGTGAATTTGCGCAAGTTGGAGGATGGTTCTACGTCCGAGGGAGAAGCTGAGGTTGTTGTCGCTGCGAAGGAGGCGAGCATCGAGGGTTCTGTGCAGGCTACTGCCCCTGGTTCTCGGGATGGAAAGGGAGAGCCGCCGGTTTATGAGCTGAAGTAATAAGATGAACGTGAAGGGGGGGGAAAGGAAGGCAAAAAAGAAGGAAGGCAAAGACGAAGGAAGGAAGGAACGGCGACAGGAATATGGCATTGATACCCTACCTTTCAAATGGCCATTTGGACCATTGGAGGTTTTACATAGTGGACGAGATTTGTGTGCATGGTTAATGATAATATCATGAAGTTTTATGAAGTTTCTTCTTTTTCGTTGTAGTTTTTTCGCGGCAAAAAAAGTGCAAAAACTTGGGATGGCTGTTAAGGATGTTGAGACGAAAGCTCAAATTCGAACACGTTTAGTCTTTTATAAGGTTAGCCACGGGGTCAATTGGATAACAGCAGCTCATATGGGTCTCGTTATGTAGCGGTTATCCCTGTCGCTTCTCCCTTCCATCTGAACAACCGGGTTGTCAGGTCGTCCGTTCGAATCTCATCCGAAACTATGGGAGAACTGTCTGGGCAAGTCCTGGGCACTCTCCCATGGTGAGTTCACTCGCCATAGCGTACTATAGCGAATATAACTTGTCTACAGCGAACTTAGCAGTGAATATCTACTTGGCGAAACGAGCGAAACGAGCGGATCTTAGCGAGCATACTGACCAATAGCTCAATCAAGCGAACATACCTTACTGACATCTAAGCAAACATCCAGTTTTTAAAGTATATTTTTACGTGTTTTATCCCTTGAATTTTGCCTGGGCACCCTCCCGCGGTCAACCTATCTCCCTGTATCAGTGTAGTCGTATTGCAGCCTTAGGTGATGGCGTGACTAGCTAGCCCAATGTTGACATTGCATATCAGCTTATTGTTTGCCCCCTTTTGGAGTTTTGAGGACCGTTCATACTCAACCACGTTGCTGGAGACGCTGTGACAGCTGACAGGGCGAAACAGAAGCCATTCATTCTAGCGCTTCCTGGCTCGGCAACTTCGCACAGACGGCACAGACGGGAGAGCCCCTGAGCGGCCCGGAGTTCAGGGAACAACAGGGCAAAATTAGGGGTGAACATCATGGCGGTTTTGGGCGAAGTACCTTTCCCATATATTTCAAGGCGTAGAGGGACATGCGGTTGAACATGCTTGGAGCGACGCCGGCACCCCTAAAGTGGGCCAGCTAGAAGGGGTCTCGTGGATCCTGTCACTTGGGGGAGGCACTTTAAGCCTTGTCACTGGTTCGGGTTCCCTTAACCAGGCCGTGACAAGCCGTTGTTCTTCTCTTTGTTCGAGTCATTTTGTCTTCTTTTCCCTCTCCCTTCCTTTCCTCGTTGCGCTTAGACACCCTTCTGCGATGCGAATATCAGAAAGCGAGCGCTGCTAGACTTTGAGAGAGGGAATCGCTCCATTCAACAGTTCAACACATACATCAACCGGACACGAACGAGCGAGTGAGCGACATCGGGCGACACCTCGAGATACCATACCTACCATACCGTTACACAACCTAAACCTAAACACCATGGCAGCCGAATCACTACTCCGAGCCGTACTTCGGCGCAAAGTCGAATTCCTTCGCCATGTCCGCCAGCGCAACAATCGGGCGCAACAATACTCGACCAAACCTCCGAACACGACCGGCGAGCAGATCCCGACACCGGGCAACGTCCCTACCCTTCCCTTCTGGCAGCGCCTCGGGCCCTTGACGAGGGCGGCCTTTGCATATGCACGCGCCCAGCGCAAGAGGCCTTACACCACCCAGGTGGCCACGTCGTTGGTCATTTACTTCTTTTCTGATATTTCGGCGCAACGGATGGGTGGGAGGGACTATGATCCCAAGCGGACGGTGCGGTCGCTGATTATCGGGTCCATATCGTCGATTCCTAGTTTCAAGTGGTAAGGCGCAAAGCCCTCCCTGTTTTTGTTTTTGTCTCTGATTTGCATAACGACAATGCGACCGGAGAAGGATTATACAAGAGACTGACGTGAAATGTGTTTGCGTTCGCAGGACCTTGTGGTTGTCCAACAACTTTAATTACTCGTCGCGCATTTTGTCCCTGGGCACCAAGGTGGTGGTCAACCAGATCTGCTTCACGCCCATCTTCAACTCGTATTTCTTCGGCATGCAGGCCTTCCTCGCGGGCGAGAGCTGGAATAATATCGTGGAGCGCATCCGCGTCACGGTCCCCGTCAGCTTTGTCAACTCGTGCAAGCTCTGGCCGGCCGTAACGGCCTTCAGCTTCACGTTCATCCCGATGGAGTACCGGTCGCTGTTTGCGGGCGTGGTCGCGGTCGGGTGGCAGACGTATCTGAGTTTCTTGAATCGCAAGGCGGAGGATGGAAGGTCGATCGAACAGCCCGCGAAGGCGGTTGAGGTTCCGGTTGTTGCAGAGTCGACACAGGCGGCGCGACTATCGATGCGACAAGAAATGGCGACGGCGGCTGTGAATTAGTTGATACGGAGGCGATAAGAGGAGGGCGCATTTTCATCGGGGCACCTAGAGGACGGGAGGTTATTTTGGCATTTGGGGCGGTTGCATAGACATCATTGCATGGGTCGGCGTTCTTGGGCGGTTTCTTGGGTTTAGTTGCATCGACATGGAGATATCGTGTCAGTTGAGCGAATACACTTTTGTTGTTGTTTTTCTCTGGTTTGTTCTTTTCCCCTGGTGCGATTAGATGATGGCTGAGGAGAAACAGCCCGGCTCGTGACAGGTGGTGGATGCTGTGTCCCGTCACTACCTATCTGACTGTCTTCGAGGAAGGCGCGTTCCATCCCGTCTGTTTGAGACGGAAATCAGGGGCACATAGCAATGGGTGGATGGTCCCTAAAAGCTGAAACCGTAGAGGCGAGTTATAGTGGGTGGAGTCAGGTACCCGCCCGTTCTCCAGTTGACATCAGCCCAAATTCAGTGGGTCTCCGTTCTCGGTGAGTCGGACAAGAAGCTGGCGGCGGGGGAGCCCCGACCGGAACACCGGACAACGGCTGGAGCTTCTCGGTACAATGACACCTCATGAGCTGGAGCTTGGCTTGGGAATTGGAGCTTCCGGCTCGGAGTCGTCCCCGTCCCATCTAATCCGCGTCATTGTCATCTCCACCCTTTCGCTTCGAGTCACCCAAACATTCTAAACTCCCTTTCTCTTGCACCAAAACATTGAGTGTTGGCTTGGTCCAGCAAACACTCGACAGCCCTCACAACTCCGCCCCCTACCTCAGGACAAGACCTGTCCTCTCAGCCGCCCTCCGCCCTCTTGCGCCCAAGCCAAGACTCCAGTCCTTTCCTCGTCGCCCGAACTCGACGACAACGACGGCGACCACCACCACCAACACCACCACTGCTACTGCTACTCCCACCGAGCCAACCAAAGCTGCCGTCGCCTCTCCCTCGATTGTTCCCCGCCGTCTAAAGCTCTCCGCCTACGCCGCCGCTCTTGCTACCGTCCTCGGTGTCGGCTACTACTACGCGACAGACACTCGCGCCTCCGTCCACCAGTATCTCGTTCCTCGTCTCCTTCGCACCATCTACCCGGATGCCGAGGAAGCTCACCATGTTGGGACTGCCGCCCTGAAGGGCCTCTACGAGGTTGGCCTCCACATTCGCGAGAGGGTTCCCGAGTACCCCAACGGCCCCTTGTCCGTCAACGTTTTCGGCAAGCAGCTCCTCAACCCCATCGGCATCTCTGCTGGTCTCGACAAGGACGCCGAGATCCCTGATCCCCTGTTCGCCCTTGGTGCCGGTGTTGTCGAGGTTGGTGGCTGCACTCCGTTCCCTCAGGAGGGCAACCCCAAGCCCAGAGTCTTCCGCATTCCCACCGTCGACGGTCTGATCAACCGCTATGGCCTCAACTCTCGCGGCGCTGACGCCATGGCCACCCGCTTGCGCGAGCGCCTTCGCAAGTTTGCCCGCTCTGTCGGCCTTAGCGAGAACCAGGTCCTGAACGAGGAGGGCACCGATGACATCCCTCCCGGCAGTCTCCACCCCGGTCGTCTCTTGTGCGTTCAGATCGCCAAGAACAAGAAGACGGACGAGAAGGATGTCAATTCTGTCATTCGCGACTACGTCTACTGTGTCGACAAGCTCGCTCCCTACGCTGATGTCCTTGTCGTCAACGTCAGCAGCCCCAACACCCCCGGACTTCGCGACCTGCAGGCTACCGAGCCGTTGACCAAGCTTCTTTCTGCTGTTGTGGATGCGGCCCAGGCGACCAAGAGGAAGAACAAGCCGAGAGTCATGGTCAAGGTCTCACCCGATGAGGATGATAATACACAGATGGAAGGTGTTGTAGAGGCTGTGTGGAACAGCGGTGTCGACGGTGTCATTGTCGGCAACACCACCAAGCGCCGGACTGGCATCATCCCCCAGGGCGTCAAGCTGATCGGCGACGAGCCCGAAGTTCTCCACGAGGAGGGAGGCTTTTCTGGTCCTGCTCTGTTCGACCGCACTGTTAGCCTGGTTGGGAGGTACCGCAAGATGCTGGACGGCTATGCTCTCAAGAACGAGGCCGACAAGAGCGCTGCGCAAAAGGTCTTGTTCGCCACTGGTGGAATTACCAACGGCGAGCAGGCCCTCAAGGTTCTCAATGCTGGCGCCAGTGTGGCCATGGTTTATACCGGCATGGTCTACGGCGGTTCTGGCACCATCACCAGGATAAAGACCGAGATGAAGGAGAAGCTCGCTGTCGAGTCGGCGTAAAGGCTGCTTAGACGAGTCTACTCAGGATACTATTGCTGTAAATAAAACGTGCGTCTCTCTCACCATAAATACCCTTCTTTAATCTTCCCTTAAAAACATCTATCTCTTAGCCGGTGAAGGAGACTATCTGGAATTTATCCCTGGCTTAGATCTCGAATATCTGCCATAATGCTTCATATGGCTACTGACTTTGCGGTGAGCTCCCGAAGTGGACTTGCATCGAATATCTGGACGGCTGGGTACGTCTCTTTGTTCGAAACAAGAGCAGACCGCTCCGAGCATTCAGGAGGGGGGCAAACATGTTGTAACTCTGATACCAATCTGCGTCGGCCTGGGATTAAGTTATATTCGAGGTCCGCGCTATCCACTGGTGGCATTG